CAAGTAGTAATAGTCTTAAGTTGTCTGAATTTCTTAGATGAAGCCTTGTCAATTATTATTCATTTTTCACTAGTATTTCTTTCATCTTATTTCTCTTGCTTTTCCACCAAGTAGTAATAGTCTTAAGTTGTCTGAATTTCTTAGATGAAGCCTTGTCAATTATTATTCATTTTTCACTAGTTTTTTTCATCTTATTTCTCTTGCTTTTCCACCAAGTAGTAATAGTCTTAAGTTGTCTGAATTTCTTAGATGAAGCCTTTCAATTATTATTCATTTTTTGATTAGTATTTCTTTCATCTTATTTCTTTGCTTTTCCACCAAGTAGTAATAGTCTTAAGTTGTCTGAATTTCTTAGATGAAGCCTTGTCAATTATTATTCATTTTTCACTAGTATTTCTTTCATCTTATTTCTCTTGCTTTTCCACCAAGTAGTAATAGTCTTAAGTTGTCTTTTCTTAGATGAAGCCTTGTCAATTATTATTCATTTTTCACTAGTATTTCTTTCATCTTATTTCTCTTGCTTTTCCATTCAAGTAGTAATAGTCTTAAGTTGTCTGAATTTCTTAGATGAAGCCTTGTCAATTATTATTCATTTTTCACTAGTATTTCTTTCATCTTATTTCTCTTGCTTTTCCACCAAGTAGTAATAGTCTTAAGTTGTCTGAATTTCTTAGATGAAGCCTTGTCAATGATTATTCATTTTTCACTAGTATTTCTTTCATCTTATTTCTCTTGCTTTTCCACCAAGTAGTAATAGTCTTAAGTTGTCTGAAATTCTTAGATGAAGCCTTGGCAATTATTATTCATTTTTGACTAGTATTTCTTTCATCTTATTTCTCTTGCTTTTCCACCAAGTAGTAATAGTCTTAAGTTGTCTGAATTACTTAGATGAAGCCTTTTCAATTATTATTAATTTTTGATTAGTATTTCTTTCATCTTATTTCTCTTGCTTTTCCACCAAGTAGTAATAGTCTTAAGTTGTCTGAATTTCTTAGATGAAGCCTTGTCAATGATTATTCATTTTTGACTAGTATTTCTTTCATCTTATTTCTCTTGCTATTCCACCAAGTTGTAATAGTCTTAAGTTAAATATTTAAGTAAATGCTCTGTTCGGAGGACGAATATTTTCTATGAAAATTTCTCGGAGATTCAGGCCAGTAAATGTTGTTTAATACTGTTTATTATAAACAGAAGATTTACTTTTGTATCTATAAAAGAATGTATAAGCATAAAAATGTCTTAATATATATATATATATATATATATATATATATATATATATATATATATATATATTAGTGTATGCTGAAATGTTTACAAGCTCGACTTACTTCTTTTGTTTACTTATTCAAATCAGCAAACACCAGAATTTGGGAGAATGGTGGCGCTGAGAACTTTTCAACATCCCCAGTTTATAATAATGTACGTTACTGGAACAATAGTTCCATAAACTAACACGAAGTTATTAGCTGAATTTTGATCAGAAATTTTCGCTGTATAATGTTCACTCTCTGATTGGCATTCAATACTAAATTAAGTGCAATGACAAGGAAAGAGATTATTTTGAATAATAAATATTTATTGTGTAGAGTACATGCTTTTTGGGTACGCATCTATTGATGTCCATACGTATGTCAACAGGTGGGTAAAAGAAATACTGTTGGAAAGCGTTGTTAAAAGAGTATTATGTTACAGGGGTTGAGGTATTCAGGCGTGTTAGGAAGAGATTTATCCCTAAACGGTTCGTAAAAGACAGGCATACATCTCGCATTAAATAAGACACGTTCTGCTAATCCGAGATGAAACAGACCAGGGCATTCAATATGGTGGCAAAAGAGTTTTGATCTTTCTGGGTGGGTGTCGACTTCGTGGCATTTCGGGAGCATTAATAATTTTTTTGTGTGTGAATTGATGAATTTGGGAACCACCGTGAACACGATTTCATATCTATGGCAGATTGTTCAACTCTTTCTCTCTATGTATGTATTTATCTTAGTCTGTTTTTATCTATCTATCTATCTATCTATCTATCTATCTATCTATCTAAGTTTGTTCGTATCTATCTACCTCAGTCTGTTCGTATCTATCTATCTATCTATCTATCTGTCTATCTATCCCAGTCAATTCTTATCTATCTATCTATCTATCTATCTATCTATCTATCTATCTCAGTCTGTTCATATCTACAGGGGACCGACACTATTTTTCAGACACTTAATTTTTTCAAGTTTTAGGTAGCACAGGCAGTCTGTACTGTTTTAGTGTAATGGCAATAACATTTAAAAAACTGTTTCAATACTACAAATGGAAAAGCAGGATTCAAATTAGAAGTATTTTTTTTTTTTTTTACAATTTTTTTTTACATAGATCAGTATTTTTCGGACATTGCAGAAACAATGCTAATAGTTTATGACAGCATCTTTTTTCAATGACTTCTATCAGTCTATCTTCATAATGTTCGTACATATTGGTAATAATGTCTCTTCGTGTTTCTAGCAGT